CCCAAAAATCCCCTTTTTTTAGGGGGAAAAAAAATCCAAAAAACCCAAAAAAAAAAAAAAAAAAAAAAAAAAAAAAAAGAGAACACAAAGAAGGCTTTGATTTAATAATAGCCACAGTAGACATTAATAAATCTGTTGTTAAAGCCACAGAGCTGTTCTGGATGCACATGTGATTGGAGTGCTTTATCAGCCTATAGCCCTTGTTACATTAACTTTTCAAAAATCCAAGTGACAGGCACAGATAGAACAGCAGAAAGCGACATTGTAGGGGAGAGAATAAAGGGGAGGTCAGTGGTGACACAACAGAGAAGGAGAAGCTGAATGGTTCTTAAGGCTCTTTTACAGCAAACAGATTTTTAAGAAGAAGAAACAAACTCTCATGTGAGGTCACAGTACTGCCACATTAGCTTTAAAATCAGCCCTTGATCAGCCACAAAGACATCTTACAAATGTATGTATAGGGACTCGCTGATGAAGGATTTTAAAGGCCAATGGCAACACAGATTACTCTGAGATCAGTGGAACTAATTCCAATATGTGCTGCCGATTTTTCAGGCAGATATTGCTTTATGTTCCCTACAGGATAGAAATTACATGACGATAAACTATGCTGCACAAGTCGCTATTGTAACAGAAAAAAAAAAACTTTATTAACAAACCGAACAAAATATGAATCATCCATAGAAAATGAAGAAGGCAGTAATGATTGTGCTTCGCGTGATTTCAAGGCATGGCTGTTAAATCAATGGATATGTAAGCAACATACATGCATCAGCAAACACAGATAAAATAAACTAAAGAATAAACACTGATATTGGCTACAAATAACGGACAATTCCATGTAATAATTTATCTCTATGACTACTAAGTTTCATGGGAAAAATATTCCTTATTTAGTGATAATAGAAAACAATGCTAATTAATATGATGTCTGGATTCATATTTGTTTAGTTTTTTTTGTCATCTTCATTCTCTACACAGATTTTTTCATAACTTGTGGGAAGGATTTCTATTCAACAAGGTTGCTTTAAAAGTGCAAACAGAACGTTAAGAAGAGAGCCTTTGCACATTTTCCAAACATGATTATGTATAACAGTAATCTTGGTTTATGATGCTTCAAACCAAGCATTCACCAAATTTCAACCCCATCGAAACTTAATAATGAACAGAATAACAAAGCAGGGCAAATAACATGAAAGACCTACCTTAATGAAGTTGTTCAGGTGGCCAAGCTTTCGCATGTTACTGACTCCATGAGATTTGGCCACATTTTGGAGGATTTCACGGAAGTTTTCAGATGGTTCTGTATAGGAATGAGAAATGAAATCCGGAATAACTAAATCTGCTGGTGGACTACCAATGCTTCACAGGGGGAAGAAAAGACGCTAAACTGGCTAAACTAACTGTGTGTGAAGTAAAAACAAGTTTAAGAAATGTTTAAAATGCTTTATTTTCAGTTCCTTTCACTGCTTTTGAATTGACAGGAATATGCTGGTGAAGGTTCTTAGTCATCCAGGTCATAGTCATTCTGAAAAAAAAAAGAAATTTAAAAACAATCCACTGGACTTTGTTTCCAAGTTTGAAGACGGTTTGCTTCCCATTCAGGAAGCTTTTTCAAATGTCAGGAATAAAACCTCAAACTCAACGCTATTCCTCACAGTTTGAATTGAAACGTCTTCAAACTTGGAAACAAAGTCCAGTGGATTTTTTTTTATTTTCTTTTTTTTTTTGGAATTGACAGGAACTACAGATTACTCGACTCAAACAAGTATTAATAAGCTCAATTGTATTTAATAAGAAAATATCAACATATTGATAACAAGACGACTAAGATTAAACCCCCCCCTCAAAGCATTGAGCCTTTTTCCCCGCTCAAAGATTCATGTTACATCAAAATCTGACATTACCAAGAACCCAACCACATTTATGCTCATTTTAGCAAACAGTTTTAAAAACAAAAGAATTTAAAGCGCACATTTTTTAAAACTAAAAAGGTCAGTTTACTTCTTTTTTTTTTTTTATCAAAAAGGTTCTCATGAAAGCATTTTCATGCCCAAGTGTTAATAAACAAGACAGGCATCACAGGAGCTAAAAGTTTACCATTTAATTTTTGAGTTTGATCAGGATACGTTTATTCAACACAGATATTATCAGTTGATATGCTAAATGCTTTTTTCTACGGTGCAAAAGCTTTTAAGGCTTGAAAACAGTTTTTTTGCCTTAATTTTTGTAAAATAGAGCTGCCACAATTATCCTTTCCCAGACCAAAGAGCGTTTAATGGCCATGACTAATTTGTTGTTTCTTAAGACAATGCATAAAAGAAAAAATTTGCAGGAAGCTCTAAGATAAAGTATTTCTAAATCTAACTGACAGTTGACATTTATATTATCCTTATTTTAACATTGTAGGATTTTTTCTTCGCTCTTCAACCCTGACTGGACTGTAAGAAAGCATATTTATCTTTTTTCTCCTTTCTTTTTAAACATGTGAGCTACCCGTCGCCAGTCAGAGTCAATCAGGGTATTGTAGCCATAAAAGGTTTGGTGCATCTCTATTGTAGAATCAAAATAACTAAATAAGAAAAACATGTTTTGTTAAAAACAAAACATTTTTACCATGTTGTACTATGGTGTCATGTTGTATGGACGTGTGTTTTTGGCTAAGATGACCACAGCAGCTAATACTAACCACTAATTAATAAATTAATGCAAACATACATAATCAACACAAATAGTAGAGAATATATAGATGATGGAGATTGGCCTGTTTTTTCCAGTGTAGTCCTGTTTCTCTGACTGTGACTGTCTGGATGTTCTCTCTTCATCCTCTGACACGGGAGGTGGCTCTGAGCTCATCTGCCTGGCTGTGTGTTTCCTGGACGGGGACTCCCTTTAACCCTCTGATGCATGAATTATGAAAGCCTTGATCAAGATTTTTTTCTCAAGGTTTTTCTTATTCTTAGGACATGAAAAAAAATGTTTAACTTTTTTCCCCCCAAAAATATTGTTGTTTCATGAAGTTACAGATATGTCCACTGGAGTGGACTATGCGCAAATGAGAACTCAATATAAAATATTATGAATTTATAAAAAAAATAATGATCTAGTATTTTGTTGTAAAAAAATGCAGACCATTGATTCATTTTATGATTTGAAAAATATTTCAACATGTTTTGTTTAATTTTTTACATTATAAAGGCACAATGTTAAAAACCGAATAAGGAAACCAATGACACTCATAGCTTACTGAAGTGACTGAAATTCCTCAGGATCTGCTGCTGCCTTGAATGTCTCCTGAAGTGCACTTAGGAAGGGTCTTACAATGGGGAGCCTATATGTGTTTGCTGGGCGGTAAGGTTTCACTATAGAAACCATAGAATTAAAGAGATATTTACTTTGTAGTAGCTGTCCACTACAGTGACCACTAGCACCAGAGGGTTAAAAGGGAGTCTTTCCTCTCCACTGTCGCTACAAGCATGCTTAGTGTGGGATTGCATTCCAGTCAATGAGTCGATGCAATCAACTGGTTTTCCTTAGATAAAAAGACTTTGAATCGATCTCACAGGATGATCTGTTGAACTGTAAAGTGCCTTGAGATGACATGTGTTGTGAATTGGAGCTATAGAAATAAACTGAAACTAAATAAACTGATATTACAGGTAGCTTTTTTCAGTAATAAATTAACAAACTTACTTTAGCATGAAGCTAAATGTTTGTTTTTTTTCCCCATAATTCAATTGATATATAAATGTACAGCATCAGAACGAGAGAACAAACGTTTAATAATACAATCTTCATCGACAACTCGTAGATTAACACATCAGTTCCCTAATGACCAGAAGAAAATTGCGACAGTAGCCTTTTACCGACATGATTACATTTATAGTCATCAGGAATGTGGGTGTCTAGAGCGGCTGCTCCCTGTAAACAAACATGCATCTTTCATTTTTGCTGCAGGAGCGAATCCCATGGCTCAACAGCTATCAGAAAGACCTTCCCATTCAATAATATTTATCAAAGAGCTAGGACGACGCCCGATTATTTTAAGGCTGGCAGTCACGACCAATGCACGAAGACAAATATTTGCATATGTAAGGCCAAATAACAGGCTGCAGTGCCCAGTCAAAGCAACCAAAACAACAGCGCAGCGTCATGGCTGGTTAGCTGTGGCAGCTAGCTAAAGCTAACTCAGCTAGTTATAGTAGTTCGCAGCCGCCGCTACTTATTATCATTCTTAGCAATGGGTTTAAGCGAAACAGGAGTGAATGGGGGGCTGCAATCGTTATACGACCGCATTAGCAGTAATAAGTGTAGCGTTAGAGGAATTTTATTTGCAGAAAGTGCCCTCATCCATTTTGAACAATAATCGCTTTCATGGTGATGTGATGAAGCCGTTGCCTACCTCTGCTCAGATCCAGCGGGACGTTCTCCTCCCCGCTGTCATTCCGACCTGACAGAAACACACACAGCGTAGACAGTCAGACATCGTTCTGGGGCCAATACCAGCCCGGGGACTTCCCTTTTTACAATATGTCGCAGTTACAGCTTTCAATGAATCGAGTTTTTCATGCTCACCCCGCATCCGAAGACTCCGGATAGGACGGCCGCGGAAGCTGGCCGCCATGTTTCCAGGAACATACACAACACCGGAAACTTCGTGCCGTCTCGCGATAATACAGACAGAACAATTCAGCAGCAGATGAAGCCCCCTCCTGTCACTGATCATCTGTTCGTGTACATTTTTGCCATCCTCTCTGAGAGTCTTTTCATGTTTATGTTAATGGCTTAATAAAGAAAAAAATTAATAAAAAAAAAAAGAGTCCCCCTCCACCGACCTGAGTTAAATATGTCAAATGAAATTTGAGTAATAGCAGA